TCGCGCACTTGGACGGCTGGTACAAAGAGACACAGTCCAAGACGTTCCTCCTCGTGCTCGGCAACCAAACCATGGTGGTGACCAAGGACCCGGCGATCTATAAGGCGGCGCTTGGGCTCAGCCATCAAAAATACTTCGACAGGGCGCCGTCCATCACCGCGGTCATGACGTACTTTCTACCTCGGTCCCTGGGCGCTGTCACTTCGCACGACTGGTCGCGCATCCGCCGGACGCTGCAGCGCGGCATGGCGATGCAGAGCTTTGACAACTTCCCATCGCTCGTCGCCTCGTGCATCCAAAAGCTTGACCGTGCGACGCTCTCGAAACAACCGGCTTCGGACAACAAGGATGTCCTTACGGTCGTGCCCGAAGACTTTTTTCCGAGCCTCACGTTCGACGTCTTCCACCGCCTCATGTATCAATGGGATCCCAACACGGTAGCCGGCGACTCGATGGACTTGCTGCGCGCTGCGCTCCACCTGAGCGAGATGTTTGCCGAGCGGGTGATGCTGCCATTCCCGCTCTTGTGGAAGCTGCCGTTGCCGCGCAACTATGAAGCCGACGCTGCACTCCACGATCTGCACGCCAAGGTTGTCGAGCTCGTCAACGCGCGGCGTCAGTACCTCGCGTCCCTTGACGAGCTACCGCATCCGACGTTGCTCGACTACCTCCTCGGTGCCCTCGAGGACGAGACACTTTCAAACGACGAAGTTTACGACAACGTCACGGGCTTCTTCATTGCGGCATTTGACACGACATCGAACGCACTCTCGCTTCTCTTCAACAACCTCGCGCTGAATCCGGATGTCCAGGCCAAGCTGCGCGCAGCGCTTGCCACGTCATTTCCGGGCGGGCCGGATGCAATCGCGCGCGCGACGTCCAAAGATCTGGATGGCTGCGACTACTTGACGATGACGCTGGACGAAAGCATGCGACTCACACCACCCATCCACAGCGCCGTGCGCAAGTGCGTTCAGGCGTGCGAGATCCACGGCGTCCGCTTCGAAGTCGGCGACGAGCTCTTCATGCACAGCCACGGCGCCGCTATGGACCCCGACAACTACGCCGGTATGGACGACCTCGAGTGCTTCCGGCCCGAACGCTTCCAAGATACTACGTTCGACAAGCCGGTCTCACTGGTCTTTGGCTATGGGCAGCGCATGTGTCTGGGTCGCCACCTGGCCATCGCCGAGATGAAAGCCATTTGCGCCTACGTCGTTTCGTCGTACGGGCTCTCGCGCCCAGCAGACGGCCCGCCGCTCAAATTGGACTCGACGCTCACGATCGGCACCAAAGTCGGGTACGGCACCATGCACTGGCGCCGTCTCTAGCGGCCTCGTCCTGCACAAAGTCAGTTGATAAATACACGTCCCATGTTCTTTCTACAGCTGCAAAACGTCTACTTGGAGAGAGCGTTGGCGCGGAGCCAGTCGTCGAGCGTGCGCGCAATGTCCATCATACTCGGTCGCGCTTGCGGGTCTGAGCGCAGACACGCGGCGAGAAGGGCGCGGTGCTCGTCAGGGCACGCCGAGACCGCGTCGATGCTGAGCCGGTGCCCCTCGAGCACAAGCGCCGCGGCTTCCTGCGGCGGCATGTCGCGGCCAAACGGCTCGGTGCCGACCATGATCTCGTAGAGGAGGACGCCAAACATATAGGCGTCCGACGCCGGCGAAAAGACGTGGGGGAGCTCCAAGCTCTCGGGGGCCATCCATTTCAGCGGCCCGAACCCCGGCTGGTCCAGAACGTGGCCCTAGAAGCGAGCATCACAACCAAGAGCCCCGAACGTCATGCGCAATACCATGCGGTCGATGGGCCGCGAGAGACCAAAATCACACACTTTGACGTGAAAATCCGCGTCCAAGAGGCAGTTGCTACGGTGAAATGCCGCAAAATGTTATCTAACGGGCGGAGGACGTACCGAGCGGCTATGTCCCGGTGCAGAAACGAGCCTTGGTGGATGTTGAGCACGCCGTGCGCAGCGTCGCGCGCAAAGATCGTGCGCGGGTAGGCGCCGTACGTACGGTATTCCGAGTCGTACAAGAGCGACTCGACGCTGCCGTTGGGCACATACTCCATCACAAGCGCGAGGTCGTCGTCGCAGGCGCCGATGAACTCAACCACGTGCGGGTGCTTGCCGAGCATGGAGAGCGCGCGCACTTCGTGCAGAAACTCGTGGCGTGACACGCTCGATAGCACGTCCGTCTTGAGCTTCTTGACGACAACATCAGTGTTGTTGTAGACGGCTCGGTACGCTGTCCCAAAGGACCCGGCGCCAATCGGCTCGAGAAGCGTGAGCGACGAGAGCGGAATCGCCATGGCCTCGCGCGGCGGCGCGTCCAATGGTGTGTACGTCGACGGGTATGTCACGACACGTGCTTCGGATTCGTCTTCCTGACGCTGGTGACGAAGAATTGTTGGCGGCGGGATTGTAAAGTGCAAAATGGCCACGTGGGTGCCGACAATGACGCGGGCGCGACAGAGCCGACCAACGTCATCGTCCGCCTCGATTCGCTTGAGGTCAAAGAAGACCTTTTCCATTTCTTCGACCCTAGTAGCCATGGATATACCGCAACACCAACACCGGCGACCGCCTACCATTGAAACGACTTGGCCGACTCGCCGATAACTGTGAGGCCGACGCACGGCTCGATCGCGATCGTGATCATCGTGCCGTGGGTGACCCGGAGACCGCGCGAGAGGCGCCCGGTCTCGACGACGCCTTCGTCGAGCGCCATCGCCAGCATGTCTTCGAATTGGTGCGGTGCACACGCCCAAATAAACACGCGGCACTTGGCGTCCCACGCCGGTGGGCCAAACGCACTAAAGTGCACGGGCAGCTGCAGTGACCGTGCGACGGGGTGCGTCGTGCGAATGTGATTGGTCAGCCGGCGCGTGGTCGACGCTGGCGCCGCTGTGTACGTGAACGGCTGGTACGCTGGCACAGCACAATCGTAGCTCGGCGCATCAAATGCCGTGTACACGGCGAGCGGCTCGTCCGACAGCAAAGGACTACCGGTGTCAAGGAGACTCCCACTCTTCCCTCCGGACGATGGCACTACCAAGGCGGTGGCCCCCGCGAGTGGCTTGGTCACGTCCGGCATCTTGACGAGTGTTTCCTAGTCGCATCGATGCTAGGGTTAGGGTCCAGACACAGTCAGCGGCGGACCTTGTCGTCGAGCGACGAGGACGAAGACGAATGCAGCGACGGGAACGACCGAGGCGGCGTGTACCGATGGCTTGTTGGCTTTTGAAAGGAGAACCACTGCCGATGCAAGAGCATCGTGGTCGTGGGGCGGAGGCTCAAGTCATCTAAATACCGATTGAGCGGCCGCAGATGGCAGGTATGGGTCGTACGGGAGAGACACTCGAGCACGAGTGTCTGCGCGGGCACTGTGAGCGACTGCAGCGCAACCGAGTCTCGAATCACATCGAGCTACGCGAAATCAATTCCTGTGCCACGAGTGCAGAGCATACGTGGGGGTCGTGGCCCGTCGTCAAGAGGTAGATAAGCGCCCCAAACGCAAAGCTAACGAGTCGCATGAGTGCACGAGGCGCTGAGAGGAGCGTACATATCGGCGGCTTTGCAGTGGGGTGTCGGCGGGTGCATGGCCGATGACGTGTGCAAGTCCAGGAACGGCGGCAGCAGCAACTGCAAGCGATCGCCAGCAATCTACGCGCAGAGCAAGCTCATCATGAAACCCCTCGATGCGAAGCGAGTGTACGTAGAGGTGGTGGATGGTGAGGTTGCCATGGACGATGCCACGCGTATGCAAATAGTGTAGCGCGTCGACAAGCGCAAACGCCTTGCGGTGGAGCTACGCTAGCGTGAGTTCGATTCCGCATATGCGAATTGCACCTGCGCCTCGGTGTAGCCATCTTTCGAAGCGACGTCTTGGGCGAGCGTACGCATTGGTGCGAGGCGGGCATGCAGGAAGTAGACGACGTTCCATGTCGCCCCGGCGTCAAAGATGCCAATCACGGGCGCAATCAGCGGGTGCTCGCTGCCCGCAACGGCCAACTGTTCGAGCCGCCGAGACATGTCCCTACGCGCTGCGTGAGGCCAGGCGCGCAGCAGCCGATGCGTCTACTTTGTCAAGAGCGTCGTTTTGGATCGCGCGGCAATGAGCACGACGGCGCCGTCGTTCTCGAGGTCTGTGGCCAGCGCATGATGTGGCAGCGGCGCTGGCTGGTCGAGTGGCTCGAAGCGGGACGCCGGGTACGGCAGGCGCGGCAGTAGCGACGGCGGCCGCAGCGCCGGACATGAGAAGCCCATCGTGGTACTGAGGTATTGGAGCACCATGCCTGCCAATGCCTATAGACAGGGTTTCAACGTCCCTCGGTATAACGACACTTGCTCGGATTAAAATATTGTTTGTGCCAACGCTCATTCATGACGTTCTTCAACCCAGGTACCTACATTCCGTATATACACGCATTCCAATTCGGGCATTCGCTTGTAAAGTATGTTTGGGCGCTCCGTAGTGCAAAAAAGTGGGCGTGATGAACACAGATGACGGCGAGATTGTTACGCTGTGTGCGAATTCCGTGCCAGTGGTTGGATGACACATCGTTTCGGCAAATCTTGACAAGGGTTTGTCGCCCTGCACGAAGCTCTTACTACGTGGATAGCGACCTCTGGGTCCTTAGCTAGCGCATAAGATCGTGTAGCATTGTCTACCAAGGTGCAGGATCTAGATCCACTGGAAGAGCCTGCCGCCCCACCACCCACCGTGGCCGATCCATCAACCAGCCAAGTCGCGATCAATGAGCAAGCGCAAGACAAAGGCCAACATCACCACGCGTTGACATATCACGCAGCGATGGCAGCTCTACCATTAGCTCGCAGAGGGGTCGACAGAGGTGTGATAGCAGCGATTAATTAAGGTACGTTAAGGATGGCACGAGAATGCTATTGCACGAGTAGCGTCTTCAGTCGATATGCGGTGCAAGGGGTTGAAGCGACGGCAAGGCAAGGCTGTCGAGTCCTGAGCGGTTGGTGCGCGTCGTCTGGCTCTGTGCAGCGTCGGCCGAGGCAAGCGCGTGCAGCACCTGCACGAAGGGCGAGCACCATGACACGGGCAGGCTCTCCTGCCCGTCGTGCATCTTGACGAGGATCTCCGAGACTTCGCGCTCGAGGTCGGCTACGGGCGGGCGCTTGAAAGGCTTGTTGAGCTTGACAAACTCCTCAAGGTCCAGTGCCCGGATCGCCCGAAGGACCCATGCCCGCTGGCTGCGGGGCTTCTTCTCGCTGAAGCCGCGGATGTGCTCGGAGCAGAAGACGATGGATTCACTCACGCTGCGCAAGTGGCCGCGCGCAAAGCTGTCTTCGATCCATGCACCAAGCACGAGCTTCTGCTTCGCGTGGTCCGGGGTCATGGCAAATGTACCACCTCTCGCATTCGATGCGAAAAAGTTTACCGGATGCCATTCCCGGAAATAATTAGTTTCCCCGTTGAATAAAAGCCTGTGAAAATGAATGGGAGACTTTGGCATCCGGATACGGGACCAGCGACACCCGAGCTTGACCAAGATCGCCGATGCGGTCACACCTCTGCCGACCCATCGATGGACGCACGCCATTGTTGAGCTACACAAGCTTCGATTGGCCATAGTAAAAGGCCCACTCGTGCTCGTACATCCCATGCGCTGCAGCTCGTCATCAACGTTCTAGTGCCAAGGCTCATTGCCTCCGCCGGCACACCATGTCGGGCGCACAAGCTCTCGGAGCTTCCACCCACTGCTTGCGCATAGCGCGACGGCTTGTGTTACATTCGAAAATATACGATTGATCGCTTCAACCGACAGTACCGGTATTATGGTTGTTTGCCTGCCTTGGCAATACCTATCGTCTGGACGATACATGGCGATGGTCGAAAGCCGTTGGCACGCCCGTTGCCGGCGTCGAGCTCGCAACACCCCGCGGCTAGCACGACACCACTGCGAATACGACGCTGTTTGGCGATAATCATATGTCGTCGTGTATTCATTCACTTAGTTTTCAAGCACAATGCGGAAGCGCACGTCACCGTTGTGGACCTTTTGCAGCGCGGCGGCGGCCTCCGCCATCGGCATCACCTGCACGATCGCGCGCACGTCCTTCTCGACCGCAAACTGCAGCATCTCCTCGATCATGGACGGCGACCCGATGATGGAGCCGACAATCGTGATCTGGCGCGGCACGACGGCAAACGCATGGAACGAAATCGGCTTCTCCGGCACCGCGATGAGCACAAACTTGCCTTCGGTCGCAATGAGATTGAAGAGCGCGCCCCAGTTGGTGTCGGCGCCGTACGACGTGCAGAGAACGATGTCGAACTGCTGCGCGGCGGCGGCGGCGGCCGCAGGATCGTTGTAGTTGAGGAACGCGTGCGCGCCAAGCACTTCCTTGCACTCCTGCTCCTTGCGGTTCGAAGACGAGAGCGCCGTGACATGCGCACCGAGCGCGACGGCCCACTGGATGCCCAAGTGGCCGAGACCACCGACGCCCAAGACACCAACCTTCGTGCCCGGCCCCGCGCCGTGCGTCTTGAGCGGCGAGTACGTCGTGATGCCGGCGCAGAGCAACGGGGCGGCACTGGCAGACGGGAGCGCGTCCGGAATCGGCACGACAAACTGCGCGTGGCACCGATAGTAGTCGGCATACCCGCCCTGCGTGATGTACCCGTCCGTCGTCTCGCCGTTGTACGTGCCGAGGAAGCCGGGGCAGAGCTGCTCCTTGTGCTGGTCGCACTGCGCGCAGTCGAGGCAGCTACCGCACTGGGCACCGACACCGACGCGCGTCCCGATCGCGTACTTGGTCTGGTCGACCTTGGACCCGACGCGCACGACGTGCCCAAGGATTTCGTGGCCGACGACCATCGGGTACTTGATCTCGCCCCAGCCGCCCGTCAGCGTGTGCAAGTCCGAGCCGCAAATGCCGCAATGCGTCACCTTGATCTCGACGTCGTACTCCTCGTCAAAGGGCTTGGCCGCGTACGTGTGGGGCTTGACGTCGAGCGACGGCTCAAAAGCGGCTTGCCCGTGGTAGATGTTGTTGGAGGCCATGGTGGTGTCGATGAAAATTGATTTGTGCGCTGTGGATTGATGTGCGTCTTGGTGTTCATTTTTAGCGCCATCCCACCCCAGTCTTACCTGGTAGTCTATCGATGGTTCGTAGTATGCTGGGTTTTGTATGCTAGTCTTTAGAGTACATTTACTACGCATACAAGTACATGCACAGTCGTACTACTTGTCTGGCCTCGGCCTAATAGCTATGTCTCGGTCAACATTCGTGGTCCCGCACACATAGAAAACCTTGTGCCATACTACCAATCCAGAAACCAGCTGGCACAACATCTGGGTTGCGACGCCACGAGACCATCACTCGGCGGTGCGCGCTCAGCCGTCGAGTCCTAATGAAGACGTCGTCCGATTTCGCTTGGAGCATCTGTCTTCAAACGCAGCCAAGTGATGAGTAGTAAGTGCATTGCAAAGACTAGCATACCTGTAAGCTGGCATACACGCGCACAGTCAGTCGCTCAACTTCGGCGCTTGTCGCTAAAAATGAACACCAAGACGCACATCAATCCACAGCGCACAAATCAATTTCCATCGACACCACCATGGCCTCCAACAACATCTACCACGGGCAAGCCGCTTTTGAGCCGTCGCTCGACGTCAAGCCCCACACGTACGCGGCCAAGCCCTTTGACGAGGAGTACGACGTCGAGATCAAGGTGACGCACTGCGGCATTTGCGGCTCGGACTTGCACACGCTGACGGGCGGCTGGGGCGAGATCAAGTACCCGATGGTCGTCGGCCACGAAATCCTTGGGCACGTCGTGCGCGTCGGGTCCAAGGTCGACCAGACCAAGTACGCGATCGGGACGCGCGTCGGTGTCGGTGCCCAGTGCGGCAGCTGCCTCGACTGCGCACAGTGCGACCAGCACAAGGAGCAGCTCTGCCCCGGCTTCCTCGGCACGTACAACGGCGAGACGACGGACGGGTACATCACGCAGGGCGGGTACGCCGACTACTACCGGTGCCACGCGCAGTTTGTCGTGCCGATTCCGGACGCGCTCCCGTCTGCCAGTGCCGCCCCGTTGCTCTGCGCCGGCATCACGACGTACTCGCCGCTCAAGACGCACGGCGCGGGGCCGGGCACGAAGGTTGGTGTCTTGGGCGTCGGTGGTCTCGGCCACTTGGGCATCCAGTGGGCCGTCGCGCTCGGTGCGCATGTCACGGCGCTCTCGTCTTCGAACCGCAAGGAGCAGGAGTGCAAGGAAGTGCTTGGCGCGCACGCGTTCCTCAACTACAACGATCCTGCGGCCGCCGCCGCCGCCGCGCAGCAGTTCGACATCGTTCTCTGCACGTCGTACGGCGCCGACACCAACTGGGGCGCGCTCTTCAATCTCATTGCGACCGAAGGCAAGTTTGTGCTCATCGCGGTGCCCGAGAAGCCGATTTCGTTCCATGCGTTCGCCGTCGTGCCGCGCCAGATCACGATTGTCGGCTCCATCATCGGGTCGCCGTCCATGATCGAGGAGATGCTGCAGTTTGCGGTCGAGAAGGACGTGCGCGCGATCGTGCAGGTGATGCCGATGGCGGAGGCCGCCGCCGCGCTGCAAAAGGTCCACAACGGTGACGTGCGCTTCCGCATTGT